GGGGGGAGCAGGAGGGGGGGAGCAGGAGGGGGGGAGCAGGAGGGGGGGAGCAGGAGGGGGGGAGCAGGAGGGGGGAGCAGGAGGGGGGGAGCAGGAGGGGGGGGAGCAGGAGGGGGGGAGCAGGAGGGGGGGGAGCAGGAGGGGGGAGCAGGAGGGGGGGAGCAGGAGGGGGGGAGCAGGAGGGGGGAGCAGGAGGGGGGAGCAGGAGGGGGGGAGCAGGAGGGGGGGGAGCAGGAGGGGGGAGCAGGAGGGGGGGGAGCAGGAGGGGGGGAGCAGGAGGGGGGAGCAGGAGGGGGGGCGAGTGGGGGAACGGCGGCGTCACGTGGGGACCTCCTCGCTCTCTCGCGGCCCATGCCGCTCCGATGCCTCGCTCATTCTTGTCGGGGAGCAGCATGCTCTGGCCAGCTGTGAAAAAGAGCTTAATAGTTCATCGGATTCCTCCAGTATATAATACATATTCTGATTCTGAATACTTCAAATACAACCGCGCGAATTTAAAATTGCGCTGAAATAAAAGTGTCGCCAGCGTGCAATGCCGCGATTGTAAACCCCGTGAACATTCCGGGTTCACGGTCTTCCTTTCTGACTTCTATTACTCGGGGCCCCTTTCAAAAAAGTGGCAGCCCCAACAATCCCTGCCCGGCGTGATGCGCTGAGGATGTCATCTAGCCCCGCCCATCACCTCCCGTCCAACGGCACAAGTGGGAACAGGTGGTGACTTTTCTTTGTCCGTGGCCCAGCAATTATTGATTGCAGTACAATAATCAGATAACTCAGTTTCATTGCTGTGGTCCAAATAACGTTTTTGCACGTTAGTCTATTTCATTGTGCAAACCCTTTGTAAACTAAGCAGTAGAGAAACCCACATCTACGGCCAATTACATTTTTAGTGTAGAATTTTCAGAGCTGTAAAATGGCACGACCCAATCCCAACTAATTTCGCTTATTGACAGAGTGGCGGTCTTCTTTTTCTTTAGCGAAGAACATCTTGAACAAACATGACCACCGGGCCCTGCGCGGTGAGAATGAGCCATCTGTCGCTGCCGCTGCTGCTGCACTTGTCCTGTACGCCCAGCTAATTCCGGGCCTCGCCATCGGCTCACAGGGATTTGAAACGCGCCTCGTCACGATGACACATTTATTCAAGATGAATGGCTCAATTACAGCAGCAAAAGTTGTGCAAGACACATTTCTTTTGTTTAGGGTACTCAATCATGTGTGATTAAAAATAAAATGAGAGTCAGGTTGATGTTTGAATTCATTACAGCGTTGTGCATTTCCATTAATGACTCTGAACCCACCCTGAGCCCGTGGTGAATACCGGGGTCAGCAGAAGTCCAAGGTATTAGCAAGAACACGGTGTGAACGTTCTGACGATTCCACAGTCCACCATGCCAAAAGCACTGTTGACTTCACAATGTTATTCCATCTGGCCACCCGGAGCGATAATCGGCCGCCTTGACTTTACACCGCGACTCGTAATCGCGACCCTTCCCATTCCGACATGAAGCCGAACGGCAAGTGTAACGAGACAAGCTGACATCACAACGGAGCCATGGAGCACAGCCGCACGGTGGCACTTGCGGTTGTGAGTCACACACTCTGCAAGCACTGCAAGTCCACGACCCGTGGGAATAGAATCGAGAAACGTGACTCTTAAAAGACAGGTCCGAACGGTGGCGTCTTTTAGATCGTGTGCTGCTTGATGGTAATCGTCGGCGGCGGTCGCCTGCGGGCTGCTGTGGCGACTCGCCCGCCCGTGCGCTGGTGACGCTTGGTGCAGGTGTCTGTGAGCGCTCGCCACGACAGATGTGATGGCCGCAAGCTGCTATGCCTGCCTGGCTTGCGAATCTTATCAGCTGCTGGTGTTCTGGGCGAACGCTAAACAGAGCCCGGCACAGTGTATGTATAATGCATGACTCATTAGGCCGTCAGAGGTAGGGGTGCTTCTTCTAGAGGCTGTTGTTGCTGCAAATGATTGGTCAGGTGTGCGGATTGATGCCTGGAATCTATCGATTTAGATGTGGAGTTGGTGATTCGGTTGTTAGTGAGTCTGTGTCATTGGTCAGCTGCAGGGACATGTTAAAAAAATATACAAACCCTATATCTATGGGATCTTGATGCGAGTATCAAAAGGATGATAAGATAAGAATAGGCTTGACTCTCTCTGGCAATAAAACAGGAAGTGTTAAGATGTTCGAACACCAAATAATTACCTATCGCTAGGCATCATGTCTCTGCAAATGATGTGCATGGTCTGGAATCGAACCCAGATGTCCAGGAACGTAACACTCAGCGCCGCTGTTTCTCCGCGTACACAGAGACATGCTGTATTATTTACATCCTTTATTTTCTTAAACGTTGTCTTGATACTTTTTCAATGTCAATATTTTCATGCCTCATTTAAAGTATGGCACGTGACCTTTATTTACACACTCCTCTTTCGGCTGGAGGCAAGGCAGTCGTCGCACAGGATGAAATAAAATCGCTTCGCGTACGTTGCATCGTTAAGATGGAGCTGTTTTTACACTTGTAGTTAAGATGCAAAACGTTTGCGTGCATTTCAACGTTACAGGTGGCCGTTACATTAGGGGTCCAGACACTCAACGTAAATGCGTCTGCCATTGCTCGTGGCTAAATTGAGCAGCGGGTGAGCGAGACAAAGGGCAATGCATCAAAGCCACGTGGCTTTGTCTTGCTTTGTTGCTGCTTATGTGTATGAACAACTCGGAATAAAGCAGTCTTATCTCTGCTTAGGGGGCAGTCTCGTCCACAATGGCATGATTATTATTAAGCCTTGTTATTTACCCTGTAAATGTATGCCCTGAAACGGAGATAAGGTAATGCATGTTCTGGTTTTAAAGTCAAATTTACACCCAAGGCAAGCCCTAAGGTCCGCAACGGATTGTGAGATTAATTTAAAATCCAGTATAGCATCGTGGACGTGGTGTAAGTTTGACTTTGGCTTTCCAAGAAAGCTTCTGGTGATTTTGTAATTTCCGTCGTGGTGGGGTGCTGGGGGTAAAGTCGCCCGCAGTTCTCTCCGCGAAACCGTGACGTCGTGGCCTCGGGGCCCTGAGTAGGCCCGCGCGTGTGGATCATGGGTGGAAAAAACCCGATTTTTCCAGCGGCAGGCATCGGGTTTTTCCTTTAATACAATTAAACCCGATTTCGGGGAATTAAAACCTGGTTTAATGAATACGAAACTCAGATCCAAGGCTTAGGCTGCTTCCTCGTCGGTGCTGCTATCGTACTCGGGGCCGTCGGGCACGGGGTAGTCGTAGAATGCGGCGGGCAGGTTGGTCTTGATGAACACGAGCTTCTCCTCCACAATCGTGGGTGCCAGTGAGTTCCTTCGCTTGGAATGGATGAAGTCCATCGTTGAGAAGTTGGCGAAGTGCGGTTCTGCAATTAGAACCAATTAAACCGGATTTCTCCCAATCTCAGATGATCGGGTTTAATATAAAAAGACAATTAAACCCGATTGTAAAAAACCCGCCTGTGCCACCCTTGGTGTGGATCGGAGGACACGGCCGACCGCTCCGTGCGATGGGAATACGAGAACGGCGACGCCGCACAATCTCGCGATGCACTGCGAGCTTCGGCGGTGGCCATGCGAGCGCTCAAATGAAGCAGCCTGCAGTCCACGCTGACGCCGTACAGTGACACGTTCCGACACCTTCAGAGCGCGGTCGTGTAGAGAGAGTGTGTGTGTGTGCAGTGTGTTGTACCATCACAGTGACCCAGGTTTAGTTTCTGGCCATGTTCAGTACAAGTGTAAAATTGGTGTGTGAACCTGTTCCACGCCTCATAGCTGTCGAAATCAATAACTATATTCCATACCATTTCGTATGTATGTACGTATGTTGAACTTATTTCGCACCCGTAGCTAACGGTTAGTGTTGGGGTAGGGGAGCGTTGGGGTTGAGTAGGGTTGGGGGTAGGGTTAAGTTCGTCCTTTAACCATTCCTAAGCCTCGTGGTCAATGCGGGTTGGTGAGGGGGGGGGGGGTGAATGGGGGGGGACAGAACTGGCTCTGATATTGCTCACCGCCACGTTGGCTGTGGCCGTACATCCAGCAACGGGTCGCCATCGCTGGATTTATTCGACCACTCTGGTCAATACCTCGCCATGCTGGTCCGTGAAGGGGAGTGCACTCGGCAGGCACAGACCTGCTTAGCCTCTGACTTTAGATAGGCTCAACTGCATTCCGTGTGATTTGATCAGTGTCGATGTATCGGTGTAGGTATTCAAAATAAAGCCATTTTACAATAAACCCAAACCAAGACAAGCATCTGCTGAGTGTATAATAAGCATGCCGTGCTAGCCTCAGTATACAGGGTGTTTCAGAAAAATGGACCAAATTTGAAACGCTATATCTCTGCAACAACGATCCGCCCGTGAATGAAACTATTACCACTTGAAAGTGCGGGGCATAGAGTTTCAAATGATTACCGCTCGATGCCTCTCCCAGCGCACAAACTGCCCCTAGCCTCAGTCATTCGCAAGACGGCGACCCCGCAACACACAAGGGGCGTTTTGCGTTCTGCAGTTCAGCAAGACTGAATCCGTAATTGCGGTGCAGCGTGCGTTTCAACGGCGTTTTGGCATTGATCCGCCAATGTCAAAGATCATTGGTACCGACAATTTGAGGAAGCAGGCTGCTGTTGATGTAAGGGGAAGAGCACAGGGCGACCACGCACCTCAGAGGAAAACGTGAGAAGAGAGGCGTTTGGGACGAATTCAACTATCGTCTCGATGTTCGTACAGCAGGTGGAGGGCGCATAGAGCATTTATAAAATGGTTAGTAAAACTTGATAACTCATTAAACCGTTTGTAACTTTTTGTGTAATTGTAACATGTTCCCATCGTGAAATATACTGCTTTGAAATTGGGTCCATCTTTATTAAACACGTTGTATAGTTGCTGCCAGCACACTTTCCCCTGTGGTGTATGTGTGTGTGTGTCTAAGTGGGGAATGTGTATGTGTGTTCCCGCAGTCTGACTACCGATACCAGTACACGGAGTGCGACGTGACGGGCGGGCGGTGGCGCGTCGCCGTGCCGCACTCCCCCGGCGCCTGCACGGGGCTCCCCGAGCCCGTCAAGGGGACCGAGTGCTGTAAGTTTTGAAGAGCGTTCGCACCGCCATTGAGCCTGCGTGCACATCGTCATTACGTGTGGCAAGTTCATTAGGCCTGCAAGGGATGACATAAATTAATTTACGTAGTTTTTGTATGAAAATGTTCCTATTGTTGCTTCTCCGCACCCTCCCTCTTCTTTCTCTCACCCTCTTGTCATCTCTCATCTCCTTTGTCTCCTCCTCAATCTCCTACCTCTGAATTGAGCTCTTGTCTTTCGCATTCACCGCCTTTTTGCTCAACTCTAATCTGTTTAACGCTTCCTCTTCTCGCTCTTCGATGTTCCTATTGCTGTGCTGTACCTCTCCTATCCTTCTCCATTTCTTACCTGTCTTCTTTTCCTATTCCTTCTTACTTCTATTTTCACCAATTCCTTATCTTTTTTCCCTCTTGCCACTCCTTGTCCTCCTTCTCTTAATAATGCTTCTCCTATTCATCCTCCCCGCTCATTCTCATCTTTTCTCCTCTTACCCCACATCTCGTGCTCCTATTTAACGCTCTTCCTCCAACTTTTTCCTGCTCATCTCCTTCAAAGTTTTCTCCACCCGTTTTTCTTTCTTCTTGTATTAATTGGTCGGAACACTTCGCCCCCCCCTCTCGCCCCCCCCCCTCTCGCCCCCCTGCCTCGCCAGCATTCTCGTGCGGGCCGGGCGAGTTCTTGCAGATGCTGCAGCAGACGTGCGAGCGGTGTCGCGCGGGCTCCTACTCGCTGGGCGACGGCGTCCTCTTCGACGAATGGGACGCCGTGCCACCAGACTTCCTCAACATGGCCGCCATGGCCTCCGTGGAGGACGGGCCCGACACCCCCGTCGAGAACTGCACACAGTGAGCCGCTAGCCGGAGTCTCCTCCACACCTGGATTAGACCTCCGCTCTTCAACGCCTGGGTTAGGCTGGGAGCTACGAGGTCTGGGTTAGGCTTAGCGCTACTCGGGCTATTAGGCCAGGGTTAGGGCTACTAGGGGCTGCGAGGTCTGGGTTAGTGCTACTCGGGCTACTAGGCCAGGGTTAGGGCTACTAGGGGCTACTAGGTCTTGTTTAGGTTTAGGGCTACTAGCACGTTGTACTGCTATAATATGGTACGCGAGACCCTTGAATTTCGCGAGTTTATCATCCGCGGTTTCGACTGATCGCGGGCAACCTCTTTGTGCTCCAAGTTAACTATTTCGGAAGCTTTGGCCATTCATGGGTATTCTGTACCCAGAAGTCCTGTATCATTGGCTGACCCCGTGGTGCGGGGCGGGCGAGGGACGCGAGGCAGTCGGTGACACCTCGACCTTAGCCGCCGGCCTTCATAGGTGCTACTCGCTAACAGCACTTGCCTCAACGGTATGTTAAGGCTGTCTGGGGGGGATCTTTGAGTGCGTGTGCTCCCCATGCACGAGGCCCACGTCCTGCTTGTGTGGCCCGCAGCTCTGGCTGGACTCCCAATGGCGCCGCGATCGTGTCCAACCAGGACGAGTGCACCGCATCGCTCGTCTACGCCGTCAACCTCAAGAAGCCTGGCGAGTTGGTCTTCGAGTACCAGTACCCAGATGCCGGCCTCTTCTTTGAGTTCTTCGTGAGTACCCGGTTCCATCCCCTCCCAGTGTCCCACAAGGCTCGCACAAGGAGAGTGTCACATGAATTAGCAGTTTTGTTTAGTATCGTGTGATGTGTCTATTGCCCATACTGCGTTGTTTTGTACGTTGTATTTGGACTCACTCATTGTCATCTCTTGTCGGCAGGTCTCTCATCATCTCTGTTTCTTATTTGTCTCTGATCTCACTGAGCGGTAACACGTTGTGCCCCAGTGAGCCATAGCTCCATGGCAGTCTCATGTCCCTCGGGCCGCTCTTCATTACGAGCACCGGGCGTAGTACATATCATAGCAAGGCCGTAATTATAATATATATTGGGGAGGACACATCCCCCCCAATATTAAAATATGCTCAAAATGTCCCCCCCCCCCAATATATTGCTATGAAAAATGTTTTAAAATAATCATTTCTATGCTATGTAAATAAATAAAAACTATTTGCTTAACCTTGGCCACAATATCTGGACTTGTCTTCATATAACAATGCATAGATTTATGTTTATATTATTGTGGTTATGGTTGTACTTTATTAATCCCTAATCTCTGCCATTACATACAATGAAACAAGAAAAGGTAAAAAAAGAAAAAACAGAGCAATGTAATAGAATACACTATTAGACATTATTGTAAAAAATAAATAAAAAGCCCATCCCATGTGTTAGTGAATTTTTTTTTAGATTTTAGGCAGGAAATGAGTTTTCAAATTTAGATATTTTTCTGGGTTGGGACTCCCAGACCCCCTGGGAGATTTGGTCCACCTCAATGTTGTCTCCATGGCGACGGCTTTGTATCATAGCAATGGTACAACTGACAAGAATGGTATTTGGTACGTGCTCCAGTGTGCTTGTGATAGCTAAATAAACACGTGGTCAATGCAAGGCCGCAGAAGCATGTTGTTAACAGTTAGTAATGATTGTCTTGGTACTCCATCAGGGTCATGTGTTGGGTAATCTTAGAGCTTGCCACACTGGACCGGTTTGGTCATGACAGGTGACAATGCTGTCTGGAGCAGCTGTGCTGGGAAAGTGTGCTCAGGTTTGTTTACAAATCCTGCCTTGGCTCCTTTGTTTAATAGAAGGCAAACAAGCACAGATGCTTAGTTAAATAAAGATAAGATACATTCCAGGGAGGATGGGGGGGTATTTACATGAAGTTTGCAATTGTTTTTCCTACATGCAAATCTTTTTAGAATTGTAAATTAAATATACAGTGTTGGATCTGGCTGTGCTGTGGTTAGTGTTCTTGAATCTTAATTGGGAAACGTTGCGAGTCCAAAATCGGGCTCGGGCTCAGTTCATTGCCTCCAGCGTCTGTCTGTGGGATGAGGACCCCGCTGTGGGAAGTCTGCAGCGGTTGTCCTATGGAGAGCACTACCCCTGTCATGGGAGTGTGGAATTTTGGTATTCGCTCGCCATCCTCCAAATGCCAGCAGTTAAATCGCTCGTCGGTCAAATCCATACAAAAGAAGATCAGTGACGATGCCTCTTAGGCTTTAGAATCTATTTGTTGATGAATCCATGCATTGTTTCACCCCACTGAGGATGGTGAGCAGTGAAGCTCCCCGTAGGCTCTCACCTGCTTGACTAAAGGGGGCACTGCATTGATGCTCGCTGACAAAGCAGCTGCCGTCGCTGCGCCGTGCCCAGCGCCGCCACCGCCGCCGCCACTAATGGTGTTTTGACAAAAACAAAGTGCGTCTGAGTGCGGCGCTCTCTTAGGAACAAGCGTGCGGTGCGTCGGCACCATCGCGTCCCAGTCGGAGTGCACTTCTGTCTCTGCAGCGATCGCGGTCCCAGCTCTGTGAGATGACTTGCCTGCAGCTCGGGGTGGTCACGTGACCATAACACAGCAAGACGAGTTTGTCCACTGCTCTTTTTGGTGCATTTTTAAGCTTTTACTGTTGATCGTCCTGGTTTATGAATCAAGCTTTTGCACAAACCGTTTTATCATTTGTTACACGTCCTTAGAGGAGCTGCATTTTGTATTTCTGTGTGGGACGAGGGTGCTGTGTTTCAGAACCATCATATCGAAGATCGCATTGCAGGTTATTTCTGCAGTGTCAGCATTTCGTGCTCTCAGTGGGATACCATACCTCGAGTTGAGTGTGGCCGTGTAATACAAAACTCATGAGCAGAGAAAAATCCCAATATATACGTTCAATAACCAAACAGTGATGTCAGTGTAGATGCTTACTTATGTTCTCCGAGCACTCCATCACAGGTTAGAAGCCCTGGTAGCCACACGCGTTCTTGCAGAGGAGGATTACAGTGTAAGAGACCCTCCATTTAGCCCCACAAACTCGTGTGGCCGTTTGGCCGTCACTTGGTGAACAATCTCCGAGCACAGTGTGAGGGAGTGCCGCCCTGCTGTGTAAAGGATTAAAAGGCCACTTGAAGGCTATTTCAGGAGAAGTTCTGTGAAGAAAATCTTCCACCGGCCATCCTCCGACACGCGCGACACTCCCGCTCTGTGAGATTTCCGAATGGCCAAAAACAATTTTTGGACTTAAATAAATGGCAGACAATCAACGTCCACACGCGCACTTGCACGTATGCACAGATGAGCAGATTACACGCTGCCCTGGTGGGAAGGACACATGTCCTTGTGGTGGCAGCCAGAGCCTGTGCTGGTGGTGGCAGCATGCTGCACTTGCTTTGCGGGTGCACTTCCACTCTGAGCAAAGAATGTGAGCAAGCCGAACAAGCATCGACTATCTCCCCGTTCCATCGTCTGCCACCTGCAGGCCACGCGGAGGCATAGAAATGACGTGATCCGGCCCGTGTTCACAACACAATCCAACTTCTATTTTTAAAGCGTCCGAATGCAAACAAAAAAACTCACAGCTCGTGATTGTATCTACACAGTGTGGTTCTTACTCTGAAGCTTTACATTCAATCTACCCTTCATGTAGAATGAGGGTTTGGAGATGAGGGTTACATTGGTGTGCGTAGCGGAACCTTCCACGCTCGCACTGATTGTTGCAAGTCCGAAATCGGCTCGGCCGCTCACCGACTCGTCCCCTCGTTGGGGTTGTGTTGCACCACATTATGACAAATCGACCATTTTTGTCCTTGGGAGAGAACGGTATCTTCAGGAGCAAACCGACAGACGTCTTGCAGAACAACCACATGGTCTGATCTGAAAACACGTTGGACAGAGATCTATATTTGCAGTATGCATGTACACAGCACAATCGTGAAAACCCTACGCGGTCACTAAAGAAGGCTGAGGACCCCCAATGGGTGAACGGGAGGCCGCCGTCCCGGGGTGCGCTGGTGACGCAACATGCCGAGGGGGCCCTTCTCCGCTGTGTTTGCGAGTTGGCGCTTCGGCCGCGCTCTCCAGACGGACGTCAAGACGCGGGGCGGAGTGTGACGAGAAGAAATTCTCTCTCCCTTCCTGCCCCCATCGCCGGGAGCCTTGAGAACGCGACGCTGCTTTACAGGGGGGCCGACATCGTGGGAGGGGGGGCTATTTACTTTGCCATCGCTCGCCAGTGTAACCGCAGGACTGTCGGTGACTTTGCCTGAGAGATTTGTGGATGGATCTCCTTTGGGGGCTGGCTGCCAGTCAACAGCTCGTCATCTTGCCGTCAGAGTACGGTCCCCGAATATGGTGTTGGAGCTCCTACATCTGAAGCCACTTGAATACGGCTTCTTTGTTGACACGAGGGGAAGACCTTTCATATGCCCTGCAAGCAATGCTCATCACGTCAATCAAACTGAAACTTGTATTACTCTGTAAACCTTTATTGAGTCAAAAACTCACACTGTCGCTGTGTTTTTGTGTTGTGGTGAGCTGAGAGCCTCAACTCACTGTACCTGACAGCCCAGTTTTTTTTTTCTGGGTGCCGCTGTTCGTCTTGGAGATTATTTAGATTATTTTGCTGCTAAAAATGTCCAAATGATAAGACACTTTCTTGAGATATAATTTGTGATGGCCTGGTCACTTCTGAAAGATAAGTTAATACCTCGGTGGCCTCTGCCTTGTAGAATGGGGATGGTTTAATTTTATTTGTTTGTGTTTGGGTGATTTGTTTACTTCTCTTGTACTTGGCACTCCTATCGTGTTGTTGTGATGTTGTTGTTGTTGTAACGTTCCTATCCAGCCCTACTGGACATCTGTGAAAAAGAGCTTTATAGCTCATAGGATTTCTCCGCTATAAATAAATATGTAGATTCTGATTCTTTGTAGGCTGGGTAACAGCAGCGCTGTTCTGGCTCAGTATTAGCAGCCAGAGGCATCCAGGGACATAACGCGCACACACAACAACAACTCTAATATATAGCTGCACCAATAGCCTCCTTAACAATAAGGCTTACCGCCAAAAATGGGGCAACCGAGGGAGCTAATGCTGCATATCTACTGTCGGAAATATGTATTGCTTTGTCTTAATAGGCCAATTTATGACTGTTCCCTATAAATTTGGAGCCACATTGTAGCCAATATATTAGATTTAACAGCAGGCAAAGGTGTGATCGCATGCAGCAGGAAATCACGACTCTCATTGCCCCATCATACCGCTCCTGTTGTGATGTGTTTTCTCATCTTTTACAGAAAGTGTTGGGTTTGAATGGGCTATTAAAGCACTGCATTAACAGACTTTCTATACGGTAGAGACTCACCGCAGGTCCTTAGGCTCTTTCAGGAGGGGACTGCATTTGGAGACTCTCTTCGATGAGTGCTATGCATGTGGGAGTAAAGTTGGCTACCCGGAGAAAACCGATGTGCACACGGGGAGGACGTTCAAACGCTTGTAAAGAGCCACTCGCTAAGCCACCTTGCAACCAGACTGGGTTTGAGAGATCCACAGCACGTGATGGAATTTTCATGGCTCGCCACCCCCGACTCCAAAGCACCGGGTTGAGTAACCACATCTTCCGAGTGGACTTTAACCGCATTTTGGTTAAACCCATTTTCACCGCGTGCGGTTACACCACCGCGTGCGGCTTCGCGGTGGTGCCGTACGGCGCGCCGCTGCGTCTCGCACTGCACCACGTGGTGCCGTTCGCCGTCGTGTTCCGACGTTGCGCTCTGCCTGCTGGGAGCTCCTTGAGGAGGCCGCGTGGGGAGAGACGCGGGGCTCGGTGCCAAAACCACACGCGGTGCAGCGTGGAGCCGCTCATCCAGATTCCTCGGTCGCGACACGTGGCACGGCACGGGGTCACTTGGCGATGGGCTTCGTTGTAGAAGACGACACGCGTCGGCTTTCTCAAGGGCTTGACTGCGACTGCAAGTCAAGACGCGAGTGGGGTTGGTGGGGGGGGGGGCGACTCGCGTGCAAAGATGCGGCGACTTGCATCGGGAGCGACGACGTTTACCACAGCGAGAGTCTTGCGTGCCCCTGCCCACAGATGCAGAACGACCAGTGCCAGTCGCTCACGGAGGAGCAGGAGCAGAAGTGGATGCCTCGCACGGACCGGGGCCAGTGGCTGGAGCACCGGGTGCGTGCGTGCGTGTGTGCATGCGTGCGTGCGTGTGTGCGTGTGTGCGTGCGTGCGTGTGTGTGTGTGTGCGTGCGTGCGTGCGTGTCTGCGTGTGTGCGTGCTTGTGCGCACGTGGGTGCGGCCCGCGTTGGTGCCAGCGACAGCACCCACGACGTCGTCATCCGACATCGCTGCTGCTGTTACTATCATCATCACCGTCATCAATACCATCGTCTTTATTGTCGTCAACACCATCATCATCGCATTCACCACTCATCACCCATTAGTATCACCATCGTCAACAAGCATAAATACACTTACCAATGTCAATATCCTCATCACCACTGTGAGCACCAACATCATCACACTTGCCACTGTCAGTACGTAAGTATTCATTTATTATAACAATAACTGGCTCTTCGTGCAAGGGTCTCCCCTAGGACACGATGTATAACACAATGGGCTCCTGTCCGCACGATTCACTATAATCCATGGGCACCTCGGTGTCACGTGGTAGCGGTGGTGCAGCGCGCTAAGCGTGAACCCGGCGACCCGAGTTCTATTCCTGCTCATGGCCACCAACCCCAGTGACGAATATCTGTACCCACCCTGGGCCTCCCGTAGGTCGAATCGGCCTCAAATGAGTACCCAGTGCGGTGTGAAATCGACCATTGCCACTAGGGAGACAAAGACCTGCGGTTGTGGTTCTAGCCACCCAACCCCTCGTGTGCCGTGCCAGGCTTCTCTAGGTGCTGCTCGCTAACAGCTGCACGGGGCGTCTTTGTCTCGACGGTGCAGGTGGCCCTGCAAGTGGGGAACAATGTCGTCTACTGGCGCACCACCGGCTACCTCCTGGAGAAGGTCCCCAAGCCGGTGATGATTCGACGCATCTACATCACGGGTAACTCAAGCCTCGCCCCCGGCTCGATCTCCCCTCCGCACACATGGTCCGACGGTGCGTCGTCGACAGAGCGGCCCCCGGCTCTTCCGGAACGCCGTGCGGCTCCGCTGTCCTGCTGTGGCCAGCCTGGTGCCACGGCGGTAGAAGAGCCGTCGTCCCGAAAACTCGGAAGGGTGCAAGTTCCAACCTGGTCACAGGGAGACTCGCTCCATTATCCCAATTGGGTCAATAAAATGAACATTGGTTGTATTATAAAACATTGGCCCTGACATAGCAATGTGGAATTTCAATGACTTGCTCAGGGCTGCCAATGGAAATGAGTAGAGCCGTGTTGCCGATGTTATTTCTGTTATGGTGGTTGGTTTGTCATCCTTCCACTGCACCTCCAATGAGCACGGTTGACCACATACGGTGTGAAAGAAATTCTACTCACATTGCATGTTTCAGTCATCGACTACCCTTGCGGTTATCTGTTCAATTACTCGCCTAGTCGGAGCACACGCGAATAGTTGGGAATAAATCGTTCCCTACCTCCAGTGTCTTATTCTATAGCCTCAAAAGGCACAACATCTGTGTTGAATACCTACTCACATGTACCATCCTCAGCAGTTGTATGCCATGTTCATATTGAGTGCGCTTCTTTAACATAATAAAAACAAAGGTGTGCTTTACGTGTTACTGGTCCCAGTTTAGTGTCTAAAAGGGACATAAATAGTAAAAAAATTATGTACGGTATGTTGAGGATGGAAAGCTTAAGCGTGTTATTTAACCGCGTCTCTTTATGGACTGGACAAAAAATATTACAAATATTTACCACTGAATGAATTTGACCCGACACTGATCTGTTTACAGCCCAGAGCCAGCGGTGGAAGTTCCACATTCCTACTTGAAAGAGTGATTCTTTGAAAAGGAAATGTACCAACTTGATAAAAAAAACATACATTTCCATTTACAGTATATGCAAAATGCCCACATTTTTAAAGAGATACTGTGTTCTATGGGGACCTCATTTGCCAGTAAAAATATGATAATTGGTTCTTTACCCTTCTATCTGGCAACAAAACTGACACCTTTTTGCAAGGAGTCATGTTTGCATAGACCGCAATACCTGCAGTCATAATACAGGTATTGCGGTCTATGCAAACATGACTCCTTGCAAAAAGGTGTCAGTTTTGTTGCCAGATAGAAGGGTAAAGAACCAATTATCAGATACTGTGTTGTCAACTATTTGAATAGTAAATTCTACCAGATATCTGCTTTGGTACCTGCTGGCCAAGCCAAACTATTTATGCATATCAAATATATTCATGGCATATACAAAATATGTCAACCAAGTTATTTTAAAAAAATTGCCATTTTATTTAAGTTACAAGGCATTCCAACTTTTCAGAGTAAATGCCACGAGGTCTGTGTTGCATTACTCGCTGGTGAAGCCACTGCGTCGATCAGGATCCCGGTTCTTTTGTCAAGTTTAACTTTTTAGGGTTCCTTTTTTCGTGTTCGTTTGACAGAACCGTCCCAAAGTCTCCCGTGACCAAGAACGAGCCGCGTCGCCAACGCGCCCCGTTTCACTTGTTTCCTCCCAGATGTGAATCTGCACCGAGAGCTTTTGTGTGGAGTGAATGAATGTGGCTCGTCACGCTCGGGAACATTTCGCCGATCGGCAGGTCACACGTGGTGGGGTAGAAGTGTGGAAACCCTCGCCTCTTACAAGATGTGTGGCCAGCGTGAAAGAGTAGGCCAACATTCCCTCGAGGGGTTCTCTAGAGCTCCCGCTAGAGGGAATTGTGGCCTCTAAAGCTCCCTTCCCAGGGAATGTCAGCCGACGATGAAAGCCTTCAACAGAGCTCCCTCTGGAGGGTGTCTTGGCCTACCGTTGTGGAGGCCTTTCTGCCAGCAGTGGCATGAGCCTTTCATACAGGGCTGTACCCTTGCCTACACTCAGGTCCATTGCGTTGCTTGTTGCATCTGTCCCAAATGTGTGCGCCTGTCCGTGTGGGCAGCGGCCACGTCGTGGTTAGCGCACTGCGCCCCGAACACGATGGTCCACATTTGATTCCCGCTCACAGCTAACATCGGTGGAGATTATCCGAACGGGTCCCAGGGCCACGCCTAGCCTTCACAGGTGCTGCCCGCTCGCAGCACGTTGCCCCGACAACCGTGCTTAGGCTACGCGTGGGATCGATGTCTTTGTGGCTGCCGCCCGCCCGCCCGCGCGCAGGAGTGGCGTACACCTCGCAGTGCTTCCCCTGCCGCCCGGGCACGTTCAGCGAGGCGACGGGCGCGGCGTCCTGCAAGCCCTGCCCTCGCAACACCTTCTCCAGCAAGGGGGCCGTGTCGTGCACCGCCTGCAACGCCACCACACACTACGCAGGCACGGGGGCTGGCGTGGTGGGGGGGGGGGCACGGAGACTCGTGGCAGTGAGGTCAGGGGGGCGCTGTCCCTACTCCGGGGGCTCACTTGTAACATGCCCCCAATGTTATTGTCATCGTTGCCATCACGGTAGCTCTGTAGTGTCTGCTTCCGTGGGTATTTCTCGAGCACAAATGGATGCACTGCTCTGAGAGGTGCGATTTTAAACTTTGGTTTCATTGCATTACGACGGCAGCTGAGTGGGGATAAAAATGTGGAAAAACCACTTTTATTTACGTAAAGTAAAACAAAGGGTCCCGAGAGGTGAGACGTGCGGCACATATCACATCACCGTTGGTGATCACCGTGGGTGATGTGTGTGTCTCAGGAAAGTTTCCATTGCTGTTATACTATATTTTAATGTTTTTAGATTTGCGCCAATTAAAAATCTGGAAATTGCGGGTGTGTGAGGAGTGGTGGTGTAGTGGTTAGCGCGCTGCGCTACGAACCAGATGACCCAAGTTCGAGTCCCGCTGACGGCCAACACCAGTGACGATTATGTTGACCAGTTCTGGAAACCCCCTAGGTCGACTCAGCCTCAAATGAGTACCTGACGCGGTGTGTAAACATCGGCACTGGCCTGGTGCTGGCCACCCACCCCCTCGTGTGCCATACCGGCCTTCATAGGTGCTACTCGCTAACAGCACTTGTCCCAATAGTCTGTTAAGGCTATACGGGCAATCTTTGTGTTTAAATGTGCGCATGCCTCCATGTGTCCCACAGAGCCCGGCTCGTCCGAATGCAAACTGCGGCCTCCTTGCACTACGCGGGACTACTTTGAAGTACACAGCCCCTGTGACATCAACCACAAGGTGAGTGGGCTCGAGGATTTCTCCGGTGCCTCCACGCATCATACAAATAAACTAATGACAACAACAATCCTTTGATCAACTACAAGACTTCTTCTCGCTTGATTAAAGATCATCCTTGCGTTTGCTCCTACCTACATTTCTCATGTGATGAACACGCAAACGTAACCTCCCCGCCCCCGCGCCCCCGTCCGGCACAGACGCAGCTCACGTACGAGTGGGTGGAGCCCAAGAGGTGCCGCGAGGACCTGGCGGGCGCCGTGCAGCTGCCGGCGTCGGGGGACATGAGGCCGTGCCCGCCCTGCAACCCGGGCTTCCAGAGCCTCAACGCGTCGCTCTGCACCGCCTGCCCACAGGGAAACTTCTCCAACGGCACTGACGGTAGTGCAGCTGCCACCGCGCGCTGCTGCTACTGCTGCTACTGCTGCTGCTGCTACTGCTGCTACTGCTGCTGCTACTGCTGCTACTGCTGCTGCTACTGCTGCTACTGCTGCTGCTGCTACTGCTGCTGCTACTGCTGCTGCTGCTACTGCTGCTACTGCTGCTGCTACTGCTGCGTGGCTGCTGCTACTGCTGCTTTAGTGGGAGAGATGTTATCTCCTTTGCTTGGTGCGCGAAAAGTCATGGGTTCGATCCCGGATCTTGAAGGTGGTCGTGTGGATATCTCTCCGGGTCCTCCGGTTTTGCCATCCTCTTCATTTAGAAACAACACGCGTTTAGATTATTTGGCTGCTGCTATAAATTGCAACATGTGACGATGTTATAAGCCACTTCAATGACCTATCGCATGTTGCCAAGTCGCCTCTGAAAAAGAGCTGATAGCTCCGTAAGCCTCACTCACCTGGTCAAATAATACAGTTACATTTATTTCAGTTGTGGTGGTTCAGACAAGGCTGAGCATTGTGCACGCAATGTGGTCATCACATGACACGCATGCAAGGCATGGTGGGAGTTGTGCCTCGCTGCGGATGGTGAGCATGCCGGCGGGCGTTGTTGAATCTTCACCATTGCCCCTCTCGACGTGCCCCACTACGCTGCGGCTCGATGAAAGGTGCTTTGTCCGGCGCAGGGGAGAGACACCGGACCTCGTGCGTGTTGCGTTTGTCCCCCGTGCCCCGATACTCGCGGACCACTCAGCGTGCAAGAGCTGCCCCGTGGGGACGGAGTCCGTGGCCGGGCTGGAGTACAAGTGGTGGAACAGCCTTCCCGACACCATGAGCAGCACGTGTTACAGCATTCACTACATCAAGTGCGAGGGCAAGGAAGGTGAGCGGTCCCCATTCACCTGCCCCAGTGTCAAGCTCTGACTCGCTCGGCCATCGCATTCATCAGAACCAAAGAATAATTCCTGCAGTCACGAAAGCTCCAAAATTAAGATTCATCATCACGTTCACCAACTCCCTTATCAGTCAATATGATGTCTCTAACTTGTCTATATTTTCTCATAACCATTATCATCATTATCATCCTTCCTCGGTTCATAAAATTAGATACATTTTGAACAGTTCTTATTCGTTTCTAAATTTCATGGTCCCTGCCATAGGAATGTGGAATTTTCTCCACTTACTCAGGGCTGCCAATGAATTTTAGCATTGTCCAATGCTTTCTTAAATGAATGGTCATTTTGGGATACATTTCCGTCTTTACCAATACAAGCTGTTTGTCCATTGTGCCCCATTGATGGCAATGAAAACTCTTGACACATTTGAATCAAGGTAACCGAGGCATTGATTTGATTTTGACTGGACCAGGTGTGCTCAAGTGTGCTAAAAACGTTGAGATTGAATTAGATTTCGCTGTGAATGTGTGGGCTGACCGGCATTCTAATCTTAGAGGCTTCCCGCTGCACACAGTCAAGCACAGCGCCTTCCAGCCCGGCACACTCCCTTTGCTGGGGCAGGTTTCACTCGCAGCGCTCCGCATGCAGATTGTCAATGTCCCTTTGCAGCCTGGACAGTGGGTGGAGACCACATCAAGAGCGGAATTGGTAACTCGGATGAGGACTACCTCGTCCTGTCTCTGCAGGTTCCCTTCTTCAGGTGAGTAGTTGGTGCACGGGATGTTACGTTGAGTCCCCTTCATTTGAACAAAGTGAGATCTCATCAGACCTCTCTTTTGCAAGAGTGGCCTTGAAAAATGCATGGAGAATTACAGATGTGAGCACGCAAGGTGACAAAGAAATGCTAAAGTGTAAAATAACAAGTATAGCAGGTACAGACCGATACATCTCTCTCGTACATTTGCAGGTAAATTATCTTGCTGCATTATAAGAAGCGTCACTTCTACGACTGACTCAGTCTGTCGGTCACAGCTCATAGTTAAGTAATCTTCATCATAGAGTTGAGTGAGGGCTCATTTTAACTATAGACGAAGCCAGGGTGTTAATGATGAATTAACGTTTAACATTGGTCAACAAAACCATGAACAAAATTTTTTACTGGATTTTAGTAAGTTCACAATGCTTTCCCTATAATGTTCTTTCATTCATTGGCTTAACTTGTTGAGGTCGAAAGTGACAAGGTGCTGGAAAGCACAGCCTACCGAGGGGTCGGGTCACTAAGTAGTGAGGTCTAGAAAAAGAGTCGCCTTGTCTGCAGGATCGGCTGTTGCTGGCTTGTTTACTGTACGAGATAGCTGTTGTACAGTCCTTTGTCAGTCCGCTGCTGGATGAGGGCCGTTCCGCTTCGTATCGGCCATGAGTCGGTGCGGTGGAGGTCAGTGGACTGGCTTTGACATCGCTCGCCAATCATGTTCGCCACGGCCGGGAACCGAACTCGGATTTCTGGATTCGTAGTACAGTGCGGTAACCACTGCTTCACTGCTCCGCCACTTAAGTAAGGGCTAACTCTTCAGGAACATTAAAACCTTATATTATCAAAGATATCGAGCACATGCTATCATCTCGGCAGTCTCGTTTAGATTGCTGGCCACAATTACATTGCCGCTTGCAATTGCTCTCTCATCCTGGCTTTCACCTCCCGTAGAGTTGCCGGGCCTCTTGCAGTGTGATCAACATTGTAGCTTAGGGGACAAAAGCACCCAGGCTTTGGTCTCAACCACAGCAATGAATCTGCCTTGTGCTGACCCTAATAGGCGCTCGCTAACACCGTCAATCCTTGTGCAGGTTGATGAGCTGCTGTGTGTGCGTCCCTGTCCCAGGCCTTCGCTTGTGGGCTACGGAGAAGGAGGTGAGGTGGGAACAATCAACTTTGTGTTTGAGACCATCTGCTCATCAAACTGCGAGTTCCACTTCATGGTGGTGAGTACCGTTTATATATATGTGTGTGTGTGTGTGGTATGTGTGTGTGTACATATGCACAGCCCTTTGATCAATCCTCTGCTTGATGAACTCTTCCCCCACGCCATCTATGCATGTTGAACTTCTTTCGCACCGTACGTAACCAACCGCACTTACCGGAGGTGCCATGAAAGTGATGGTGGTTGTTTGACCCATACCTCACCGCGCCGGTCAGTACGGATTGGTGAATGCGGAGAGCGTAGATGTTGGGACACGGCCTATGATCAGATCACCCAGATGTTGAGCGTGGATAGTGCTCGGTTGGGTGATGATCAGGCATGAGACAGCTGTTGTAGGCAGCTGCGAGGCGATGTTATCCGCAGGGGACAGTGCAGCAACATGTATTTTGATGGTACTTCTATGCTCCCCACGTTCACAGACCCGTACTGACCAGCATGGTGAAGTATAGTCAAATGCTGCCCATGGGCCCACGTGGCTTGGGGAGGGAGGCCCTCATCCAGCAGTGGATTTAAATTATCAAAATAATTATGAGTCCTACAAAACACAGCTGAGAAGTCGGTTTATTTAATGGTCAGAATTTATTAAAAAAATTGTCACTTAATTCTAGATTTAAAGCTTTCGTGACTGCAAGGATTCATACTCTTTGGTTTTTTTCGGTAAAGTCACGTAGGTAAAAAATTATTTTTTTCATTTTTGTCACCTGACAACTCACTTGATTGTTTAAAAAAATAATCCAGTAAAATGGTTGTTTAAAAAAAGACACACTCGAAGGGTTATTGAGCATCATCAGCAGGAAGTGTCCCTTTAAATGAACGCCACTGCGTATGACATGCTGCTGAGCCCTTATGAGGGTGAAACACCTCTGTTGAGCAGAGTGGTGAAGTGGGTATAGTTATAGAAAATGCTGGCAATGATAGTGGCTATGGTAGTCATGGTAATGGTTGGTCATAACAATGGTGGTGATGCACCTGCTGATGGTGGTGGTGGTGATGCATCTGCTGACGATGGTGGTGGTGGTACATCTGCTGACGGTGGTGGTGGTGGTGATGCATCTGCTGACGGTGGTGGTGGTGGTGGTGCATCTGCTGACGGTGGTGGTGGTGGTGATGCATCTGCTGACGGTGGTGGTGGTGGTGGTGCATCTGCTGACGGTGGTGGTGGTGGTGCATCTGCTGATGGTGGTGGTGGTGGTGGTGATGCACCTGCTGACGGTGGTGGTGGTGGTGGTGGTGATGCACCTGCTGACGGTGGTGGTGGTGGTGGTGATGCACCTGCTGACGGTGGTGGTGGTGGTGCAACTGCACCACGGGCTGGCGGGGCCCAGGCCACAAACAGGAGGGACATTGGACAGGGGGCCCCGTTGCATTCCTTGTATCCAAGCCCATGCCACCCATGCTGCGCCACTGCTGGTGACGGTGGATAATCCTGGTGGGGGTTGTGGTGTCGGTGCTGATGCTGCTGATGTAGCTAACGGTGGTGATGCTGCTGACGGTAGTTGTCATGACAATGGACAATTGTGCTGCCGATGCTGCCACTGGGTGCATCTGGTGCTCGTGACGTTGCTGGTTGGTGATGTCAACGTTGGCTTTGGTTGTTGTTCAGGACAAGGAGAAGCAGCGGTCGCACGTGGTGGAGACGTGGCGGGGCCCGCACGACAAGCAGTCGTACACATTCTCCGTGGCCACCAACGGCTCCTTCACGTTCAGCTGGGTCTTCCAAGCGAACATTGATGCCGCCAAGGTACGGATAAAATTCGTCTTGCATTTAGGTGGATTGATCATGGCTGGTAATGACCTCTGAACTGCCAGGCCACTACCACCTTACAAAACCACAAAGGGGACAAAGCAAGTGATAGAATAAATTGATGAAAAAATGTTGCTATTTGCGACCCCAAATCGTGATCATTTAGCTAATCACGAGAAGGGTAAATCATTACCTCACGGTAGTTGAGATGTGAAGTTTAATAAATGTGCCCGCATGTTTCTACACAGCGTCTCGACTTATGGGCACAACATGGGACGCCGTATAAATCCACATTGAAACGTTAACAAGTCGGACCTGGGGTCGGTGATCATTACCATTACAGCGGCGTCATTTGCTGAAATGACAATTGCAATATGAATGTTAATTCATCATGAATGGCACAATTACTTGAAACAATTGACCCCACGTCCGATACAAGTTGTGGAATGTCCTCCCCCGGGCCCGGGGCTAGCAATGGAGACACTTCGCCCCTTTGCCCCTTCGCCCCTTCATTGTCCAGGACCATCGACAGACGGGCAGCTCCGCCCGCATCTACTCCATCAACGTGACCAACGCCGCTGGAGGGGGCGCCTCATACTGTCGGCCGTGCGCGGTGGGGGCCGGCGTGGCGGGCTGCGTGCCGTGCCCCCCGGGGCACTACGTGGACACGGCGTCGCGCGAGTGCGTGCCCTGCCGCGACGGCACGCGGCTCGCGGCACGCAAGCCCTACGGACGCGAGGCCTGCCTGGCGTGCGGGCCTGGCACCCGCAGCAGCAAGGTGAGCGCGACGTCGTCGTTGTCGTCGTCGTCCTGACAATAGCACAGAACGATGATCGTTGGACACCTAAGATTGATGACCATACTGACACAGCTGCCACTGCTGCTGCAGACTACTGATAACCCCCCGCCCCCCACAGGACCATGCGTCTTGCTTCAGCGACTGCACGTACTCGTACACCTCCGGCGAGCGAACCTACTTCTTCAACTACACGGGGCTGGGCGGCCAGCATGACAGGCGATTTGGGCCCAGCTTCAGCCCTAAGGGAACCAAGTACTTCTACGCTTTCAACTTCAGCCTGTGCGGAAACGAGGTACCAGCTCTCGTCACGTCTCTCGCCGCCGCGCGCGTCAGGAACAATGTGCGGAGTTGCGTGCCTTCCCCCGGATCCTCACGCGTGGCCGGCTGCTCCCAAATCTCAAAAGCTTCCTTGACCTAAAGCCCTGTGACCATTTTTTTGACCGGACCCAAATGTCCAAATGCGCTGTTGGCCGTGCGTCGTAATCGACTACATTGCTTTTTAGATGCTGCTTTGTGGAAGCCGTCGTGTTTTGTAATGAAGTGTTTCTCGTAGTCGGCCTGTAACGATTTCACCCTCGTCACCAGCCCCGCCACACTCATCATGCAATGAATTGCCGTTATTTGCGGTCATAACAACAGAATGTTTGTTTAACCAAGTGGTAGTGCATTGTAGCATAACTTGTGGCTGTCGGGCTGATCTTAAAGTAACTTTATCATTTTACTACAATAAGGTAGTCGACTTTTGTGAGCAAATAAACATTCTTGTGAGTACCGGTCTTCCAGATGTGGTCAGGTGATTGATGGTTTGAGTGTCCCACTCGCGCTCAGCTGAGTAAGACATAATGTAACATTAGCTGTAGTAAAAAAATGTATTTACGACATTTAAACGATGTTACCGATTGCTTGTAGTGTTCGGTGTAAGTGAAAACAGGAAATGGCACTGAAATCACTGCCATTGGCACCTTTATCGCTCGGACAGATAACAAAACCACCAATCAGTTCACAAGTAAATCTGAATAACTTCCAATTAAGATCACTTTGTAATTAATGAACAGGATCTATAGCTTGACTTAAAGCTTTCATGACTGCAGGAATTCATATTATTTGGGTCTTTCGGTAAAGTCACGTGGATGCTTAAAAGAAAATAACAAAAAACTACGATGTTTCGATCACAACACAAGCGGTCGTCATCAGGAGGGAAGAGGAGGAAAGTTTTACCGAAAGACCGTAAGAATAGGATCTATAGCTATTCGTTTGTCTGAGAATTTACAGACGTTGCTAACCTTGGCAGGTGATCGATTGACTAATGCATGCATTATGTTCACTCGATTTTGCCTGTGGGATATTTTTTCAAGCAATCCAGCCAGGTGGTGTTGTCGTGAGGGCACTCGGCTCTCCATCGTGGGAAGGTGACGAGTTCAAATCCCGATCGTGGATCAAATTGGCCGATTAATCCCACTGGCATTTGCAAGTCAATGATTGTGTTTTTTTTTTAAGAACCGGCTGCCATCCATAGGATTGTGGATGGAGGATTTAAATGATTAAGTTTGTTATGTGACAGTCTGCGGGAGAAGAGGAAATAAAACTATCAATTTGATTGTGAAGTGTTTCGTGGGTTATCTATAACAAGTCAGTGTGTGGCTTAGCAGCTCTTTCTAGAACACCCCTCCATGTTGTTTCCTGCCCTGCGGCCCGCCGTGACTCGCGCACTTCGCCGTCAGGGCCAGAAGATGGCGGAGTGCGTGGACAACGTCACGGCAGAAGCAGAGGAGACGGAGGGGCCCGCTCGCGCGGTGCCGGCCGGCGTGCGGGCGCTGGCGTGCCGCGCCACCATCGTGCCGTCGGACGTGCGCTCCACCACGCTCTCCTCCCAGCCCATCGGCCTCGCCGACAGCATCATCGGTAACGACGCTGTTGCACCCCCCGATTAGCGCGGTTGGCTACGTAGGGTGCGAAAGAAGTTCGATGAACACGCGTAGAACGCGCGCCGCTCACGGCCATCGGTCTCGCAACCTCTCCGTTACCGAGCGCCGAGTTGGACTTTAAATACCTTTTGGCGAGACGTGGATTAGTCCGTACCGACCTTTGGTCAAGCCAGGACCGTGTGTGTTGACCGTGTGCTCGGCACTGCTGGGGACACCCATTGCAAATGAGACCATCCTCGTCTCGAGTTGTCACCTGGTTCATCAACTTGAAAGACCACGGGTGACAGAGTATTAGAAACAGTGTTGCCAGGCTGATAATGGCTCCCTCTCCTCTGCTTGGGCTGTTTCAAACTATTAGGTCTCATGTGGCCGTGGGAAAGGACATCGCTGGCCATTTACGGCTTGTGGGCCTTCATTTCAGTACCCTGGATTAAAGGCCGGGGCTGGTCCGCACTCAAAGCCAAGTGGAAATATCTCCTTGTCTGCTGAGTGTATTGTCTAATTCAGCTGTTAGGAGGTAGGGTTGGTGACTCATTCTGTTGTCATGATGGCAGTATAGCATGTATGTTGACGACATATCTATACGGATTTTTTAGTTAATAGCTATCATGTTTTCTGTGAGCTTTCCAGTTCATGTATAGTCAGAAATTACATCAAGTAATATATCCTTGACTTGAGATAGCAAACCTAACCTATGTTGCACCTTGTTAAAAAAAAATGTTCAAGATCGCGACTCTGCGGTAGAGACGAAGAGGGAATGGGCTTAGCCCACAGAGCTGTGTGATTCTTGACATAGCGCAACACGAAGCAGCAAGCTCTTGCACACCGCGCGTGGAACCGCCCAGCCTGGCTGGGACCTGCCTTCTGAAGGCTGTGGGGGGGAAGTGTCACTCGTCCGTGTCCAAGGCGACGCGAGCGGTGACCTCACAACGTGGTTCTCTGTGCCGACTCTCCCCGCGCCGGTGTTGCCGTTGCAGGCGTCACTACTCGGGAGTCGATGGATAACATCTCGGCCCCCGTGGGATATTTCCCCGAGTCCACGGTGCCTGACATCCCTGACATCATTCACTTCTACAGGTGATGCCCTGCTCGCCCACCAGCTGTCTGCAGTCCTTGCCAGGGGATGATGCCAAGCACAGACGCAACAGAGAGTTACCTGTCCTGTCATGTGCCCACACTCGGATCCATTTCGTTGTCTCCTTGAGCCTTATTTCTTTGCTCTGGTTGCCAGTTTAGCTTCATGCTTTTGTATGTATATATAGATCTGTGTCATCCAGCAGTGGAATGACAAAGAGCTGAATATAATTGTTTTATCAATGAGGTGTATGCGGTTTGAGAGATTGGATGTGATCGTGGTTTGTGCACGGGGCTCCTATCCCGGTTACCCCGGCACGACTCTTGGCCACTCGCACCGCTGGTGGTCATCGCGAACTGAACCCGCGCCGAGTATCCGCTGGGCGTGTGTGGCACATCAACAATAGCACCAGGGGAAGAAAGGCAGCCGGGCGGAGTGATGGCCACAGCACACAGGTGATATTACAAAAGAGAACATTCTTCTGTAGTTGACATTAACGACCCCCTAATGCCATTGACGACAAGCCAATAATTGTAAATGGAAAATTACACTCAAGCTCACCGTAAATAATGAATAACCGTCTCTGCTTAACTATGGCCACCCAGGTCTCTACAACGGAAAAACGCACCTGCGTGGATCCCCGCGTGGCTAAATAAACGATGAGCGCACGCCGAGTGGCGCCGTGCACGCTGCTGCGCAGGCGCTCCCCGTCGCGCTCCCGGGTTTGTCCCGCTCGTTGTTCGGCACGGTGTCTGACGTTTCGCTCCTGGCAGCCAGAGGTCGTGCCGGGAGCTGGACATCGAGCCCAACGTGGACACTTATTTTCCTGCAGGTCGTCGGACAGAACTGTGGCCTGTCCGCAGGGCCGCGCCTCCACCGTGCGTCTTCGTTGCAACTCGGACGGCCCCCCCAACGGGGAGATTGTCCTGCCCAGGTACCGCACCGGGGGGACGGGGGGGGGCACCATGGGGAAGAGTTGGGCGGCAGTGGAGAGAAGTGGGCAGCTGCTCTAAGCAAAACGTAACTGACTCGCATGTACACGTGCGGCCTGCATGTGGGAGTTCTCGGAGATAACCTTCACAAGTGAGTTCAAGTGGTGCTCCACTGGTCGGTGCGCAGCCTACTTGCTCTACTGCCATCTGGCATGTCATGGCACTAAAAGTAGTGCATCTCAGATGCACGTGATCTCTGCGTGGTCCGCAAACTCCTTGCCTCCAAGCGCTCTGCCGCACGTTGTATTGAATGACGGAGCCGCTTCGAGCAGTCGGCTCGCGATCGGAACGTTGCGAGATTGAGGTTTGACTCGGCCCATCATCTCTCCGGGATCAACCAAAACAGGTGCTACCTCATGGCAGGTCTGCAGTGGTTGTTCCCTACGGAGACTGCTGACATAGTAACGTGGAATTTCCCCCACTGGCTTAGGGGCAGTAATAGGGATGATGAGCACCGCCGATGCTTCCTTCAGCGTGTCAGCTCTCCGACCTTGGCTTGAGTGGCTCGCTGGAGGTTTGTGCTTGGAGCTGCTGACGCGCCGACGCATGGCTGTGCAGGCAGTGCCCCGCCGGCACCTGTGACGGCTGCACGTTCCACTTCCTGTGGCTGAGCCCGCTGGCCTGCCCGCTCTGCACGCACCACGACTACCAGCTCATCACGGAGACCTGCAGCGGCGGCTCGGAGGTCGGTCCCGTCACTGCCATCGCACTAACCCGGGCGTGCACCACGTACGGTTTGCTGGCCCGCACCGTGATTCTGACCGGGTCCGCGAGCACCGGGGGTGACAGGTCGGCTGGCCACCGTCCACCCTCTCGTCCCGCACGAAGCTAGCAGATTCTTAATGCATCCCGCACTCAAAACAAGTTGCACCCCCTCTGTATGCCAAGCTGTGCGGCCAGTCTGCCATCCTTCCCACACACCGTCCTGCAAAACCAACGCGGCAGACTAACTAACCAAACCATACTATCGAACTCTACCACACGATTGAACTATACCACTCAATCATACTACCCGACCACACACATCGCGCGAACATGCGACTCAACAACTCGGTAATTGTGCGTGGCATCGGCGGCACTGCTCGGCATCTGCAGTGGAAAAACAATGCGGTGCCTCCTGAGCCGCGCCAGGCCGGCTCTGCACGGCGCCGGCATGGCCTGGCTGTCCAGTGGACAGGAGGTGTAGCGGATAGCGCTACGCTGCGCCACCAACCCGGCGACCCGAGTTCGATTCCCGCTCACGGCCAACACCGATGACGATTATCTGAACCGATCCTGGGCCTCCTCTAGGTCGACTCGGCCTCAAATGAGTACCTGGTGCGGTGTGTAAACATCGCCACCGGGGAGACAAAGGCGACCGGGGTGTGGTGTTGACCACCGAACCCATCGTGTGCCGTGCCGGCCTTCGTAGGCGCTCGCTAAAAGCACTTTCCCCAACAGACTTGTACAGGCGACACGAGGATCTTCGTCTCTGTGTGTGCGCGTGCGCAGAAGCTGCGCTACATGTGGCGGCGCCCACGCGTGTGCCACGGCGGGGAGGCGCTGCCCCCCGACGGGCACCGCAAATGCGAGCTGCTGGGCTTCTGGCTGCGCGTGGGCATCGGCGCGGGCTCCTTCCTCGCGTGCCTGCTCTGCTCGCTCACCTGCTACTTCTGGAAGAAGAATCGCAAGTAGGAGACGAGAAGGCACAGGCCGCTCCCCGCCGCACGCGGTGACGTGGCCACAGGGCCTCCGACGCAGCGGCGTCCGTCCAGACTGGGCGTCCGCTGCAGGCCGCGTGTGAACCCGGCCCCTGTTGGATGCATTGCGCGATGGCAGTTTGACCCAAAGCATCCACTTTCCTAAAGGCGACGCTGTTCAACTCCAGTAAATCGCTGCCAATCAGTCGTGTTCACCACGAAGTGAAAGCCGCCCGCTGCTTCGTAGACGGCGGGGTAGTTATTCGGTATGCAGGCGGTGCAACTGCACCGGGAGTGACAAGCTGGAGGGGGGGGTGCCCAGGCGCCGGGCTACGAAGAGGAAGGAAATTAGACGCTGTGCGGATTACGGGTCTTCTTTGACCGTGCTTCACCATGCTGCTCAGTGTGTGTTGGTCGAGGCAGTAGCATACGAGCACAGTCCTGTACATGGATATTGCGGCACCGATCCTCTGCTGCCCACGACGTGATCTAAATCGCGGCTCGCTTTGAAGAAACAACCGCCCCCCTCCCGTCCCCGCGACGCGCAGCGTCACGCTTCCTTGTACAGAGCCGAGAAATGTGGCAGCGCGTCATCAACACGCGTGTCGCGACGTGTCGCGTCATCAACACGCGTGTCGCGCCGTGTCGAGTCATCAACACGCGTGTCGCGCAGTGTCGAGTCATCAACACGCGTGTCGTGCCGTGTCGAGTCATCAACATGCGTGTCGCGCCGTGTCGTGCCGTGTCGAGTCATCAACACGCGTGTCGCGCCGTGTCGTGCCGTGTCGAGTCATCAACACGCGTGTCGCGCCGTGTCGTGCCGTGTCGAGTCATCAACACGCGTGTCGCGCCGTGTCGTGCCGTGTCGAGTCATCAACACGCGTGTCGTGCCGTGTCGTGCGCTCCTCCCAGGCTCGCCTACAAGTACTCGCGGCTGGTGCAGAGCGCTTCGTCGCGGGAGAGCGAGCTCCCTGCGGCCGACAGCTGTGCCATCATGGAGGGGGAGGAGGAGGACGTCATCTACACCAACAAGGACAAGTCCCTCTTCCACAAGCTCATGAACATGAAGGTGAGGACTCTCCCAGTAACCCCTCTGGAAAGTTGCCCGTTCCCCGCTGCTGCCCCACATTCTGCAGGGCAGCTCCTTCATAGTGGCGACCTGTGCAATAAACTAACATTTCCTGGTTAACTAACAAATCGCCCTTCTCTTTCCATATTTGCGGAGATCAATTGAGAATAATTGCTTGAAGCGAAAAAGAGGGGGTGTGAATTACGTTGATGTGCGGTCCACGTAGTTTAAGCAGACAGCCGAGGACTGAACACATTTGTAGTTTACTTCCAATGTTCCACTTGCAAGGGCCACCCTGCAGAGCTCCGTTCCCACAGTCGTCCGAGCTGTCGACTCCCTGCCCCAAGGTTAGGCTCAAGATCCTCCTTGTCTCTCTGCCTATGGGTATGTGGATCAAATAAATATGCCCACCACCGCCTAGAGATGTTGGTCATATTTAGAGGCGATGTCCATATAAATGGTATTGTTCTTGTAATCCACACCACCTGGAGGGCGTCTTTCAACCTGATCTCGGTCAGAGGGCCAGGTCGCACAGAGGGTCGCACAGTGGCTGTGTCCAAGGCACTGACCTACAACTGCTGGGATACTGGGCCTATCTCCACACATTTGTACTTCAACCGTGTTCGTTAATATAGCACTGCTGCGTCGCTAACGGTGCGCTGGTGCGTCGCTAACGGTGCGCTGGTGCGTCGCTAACGGTGCGCTGGTGCGTCGCTAACGGTGCGCTGGTGCGTCGCTAACGGTGCGCTGGTGCGTCGCTAACGGTGCGCTGGTGCGTCGCTAACGGTGCGCTGCTGCGTCGCTAACGGTGCGCTGGTGCGTCGCTAACGGTGCGCTGGTGCGTCGCTAACGGTGCGACAGGCCACGTCCCCGTACGAGGGCGAGCGCGAGGAGCGACTGGCGCTGGGCAAGACGGAGCGGAACTGACCGCCGCGTCTGCCGCCCTCCTCGGGTAGGAGACGGCACTCCAAGCGCCGCTCGTTAGCGCGCACCGCCACCCCCTTCGCTCACCACACTCACTCACATTACACTCATCTCTCGCCCACACCTCACCATCTTACACTGTAACGCACACGACAGTTAAACAGACTCCACCATGACCCACACCACCACACGCTACAGACAACTTCACCATGACCCACACCACCACACGCTACAGACAGCTTCACCATGACCCACACCACCACACGCTACAGACAGCTTCACCATGACCCACACCACCACACGCTACAGACAACTTCACCATGACCCACACCACCACACGCTACAGACAACTTCACCATGATCCACACCACCACACACTACAGACAGCTTCACCATGACTCACACCACCACACACTACAGACAGCTTCACCATGACCCACACCACCACACGCTACAGACATCAGCACCATGATCCACACCACCACACGCTACAGACATCAGCACCATGATCCACACCACCACACACTACAGACAGCAGCACGCATCACTATAGCTCAAACGGCTCACTCTGCATTTTAACTATCGCCATGTCCCTGTGAACTATAGCCTCCACCACACGAGGGTTTAGTCTACATTGTTGTAATAGCCAAGTCAGTTAGTGCAAAGACTCTTCGTAAACCGGCTCTCAACTCGTTTAAAAGGGGCCACTCACAACTGCTTCCTGGTGTAGCGGTGAGCACACCGGACTCGTAATCCAGAGGGGGCCGGTTCCAACTCGTGGCGCGGCAGCAGTGGAAGCAGCGGTGCCGGTGTCGCGAAGTCACTTCCGGCCTCTGTCCACCCAGCAGAATACCGGAGCACACTACGGTCAGTAAATCGATAGGTTGGGTGTGGTGTCTGGCTAGCTTGCAAGAGCAGGCCATATACCCTCTGCAGGGGCTCTCCAGTACTCCCGCAAGCGGGTGGGCCCTTCCGCCACCAGGAGCGCGAGCAAGGGATTTGAGGGCAGCACCTTTACCTGTTTTATGGCAATCCTATCCTCAGACCCCCGAATCATGAATGCATCCACCTGCCCAACATCCAGAGCCATCCCCAGGGTTCGGTGAATCAGGGCGAGCGCCCCAGGCCCCGTGCTCTGACTCCGACTGCCACCGCTCACGTGGCGTGCGTTTTCCCTGTGTGCAGTTGACGGTGGGAAGCGACCAACGCAGCGACACCCGCGGAGCTGCAGGGAAGGGGGGGGGGCCCTGCCGCTCTGCTCCTCCCGCAAGCTCGCGAGCGTGCGGCCGATGGCGCTCATTGCGTTGAGCATTCGTACAGATTTCACCGTAACGGTTTTTGAACTACTGCGATAGTATTTTTATACGTCCGGTCATCGCGCACGTCCACAGCAGTGTCGTAAGAGCCGAGTCGCATGAGCCAGGCAGAGACGGGGGCCGCAAGCTGTGGGTTCGGAAACTCTCTTATCCGTGTGTTTGTTGGGGCTCAGCAGGTGATCCACATTTACCTTTGATTTGTAAATTGCTTGTGTTTTTTTTTAAGTTATCCTCATGGTAAAAATGGTTAAGATGAATGCCAGGAAGGTGATTCTTGACAAGGCAAGTTCTGCAGATCCAGGGATTAGGCCGCATGTTGTACCTGCGAGATAAGACACGGGTTACAAACTTCCTGTGATCACCAATTCTGTTGTCGCTCGATCCAGTACCAACAAACCGGATCGGCCGTCCCTTTGACAAGTAATTTGCATTCAGTAGCAGATGACGGTCGATGTGCTGTGCTGAGTCACTGCTTACTGGCTTGTGTGATGTCCGTGGGAGATGCGTGTATTTAATTTGTGAGCGTGCTTGTGTGTATGCGTGTGCGTGCGTGCGTGCTATCGTATCGAGCCAACAATTGCAGCAATTCAAACCACAAAGCAAAAATTTTCAAGTGTATTTTTTATGGGGGGAAAATATTCACAATTCAATCATCTCTCTGGACTTTCTCTTCATGGTTTGTCATGTTCACAGTTTTCCTTTGGCTCGCACCGCCTTAATATCGCGCACAGGCAGATCTGTGAAGCGAATAATTATCAAAGTGTTGCCAGAGGTGCAAATGTTTTATTTAATTTATAAAGCATTACTTTTTCTGTTTTTGATGTTTAACCGGCACATCTTTTATAATTAATATTTTGTTTGATTTCAGCCAAAGGTAAATGAATAAAGCAAATGTTAAAACTAACTCGGTGTGCTTACTGTATATCCTATAGAGCAGTGTGGCTTCAAGAAGTTCCAAACGTCGTCTCGATAGAGACCGGGTAATATAGTCAACCCAAATCAATAAAAAACCCATCAACTCGCCTAAATTTGGCTGAATTCACATTTGGATGAACGCTGAATTTATGGCAATTTTGTTGGGGATTTTTTTTTATTTTAAGGCTCATCGGTAATATAATTGTTAGCAGTCTTTGAAAACACCCATCGTCATTTCTGTTAGGCATGACGTTGATGCCTTGTGGCCTGGCCGGAAAGTCGGCGCACAGCTCTGCTATGAGCAGTTGGCCAAACGGACAGGGCCAACATTCCACTCCGCTGGGTGGGGGGGGGGGGGGGCCTTGCACCATCCTGGGCAAGCGTCCCACCGAGGACAACGGCCCACCTTGGGACCGGGGCCATGCCACGCACCTTGCTTGGTAGGCTGCAAGTGTTCCACTCCCCAACATGAATCTGTGAGTTGGAGTATCCATTGGGATCCCTCCCGACGCATTACAACCCCTCTCGTTCTGTTGGAGAGCGGCTCGCAGAGGCTGGAGCTCTCGCCGTCAGTCGAGCTGTGATGGCGTTGGTGTGTAGATGGCTGTGGGTGCTGCCGGGCCACACGCAAATATACGTTTAGAGACTTTAGCGATGTAAGATTTGCGTAGGCTTTGTCCACACCCACGGGGGGGGGGGGGGGGTAGGAATTGGACAGGGGCCTGAAACGTCTAAAGAAAGAACCCCAGGGCTAAGTCTGTGGTCCAATCCGCAGGGGAGACTGAGGGAGCTGCCCTCTCGCCTCGGAACTACAGATGAACTCATGGCCTGCTGCATTAGTGCTGTTGGTTAGACAGGCCCGCTCATACAGGTGCAAGAAGTGGGGCGACAAGCCCCGAGTTATCAGCCTGGCCTCTCGAATAACCCATCTTGGCAGAGGTGGCAACAATGTCATACTTTACTGAACACATTTATGGGCCCCAAATGACTTTGGCCTGTACCTGGAGTGTTCTGCTCATCGCGCACAGTCGTTGTCAGACGCCTGTAACCTGTCAAAACAGTCGTGCACCTTCACGTTCGTGTTGGCTGCGCCATATCATTGCTGATGTTATTTACTGTAATGTGAAGAAGCCACCTTGTGCATTGATTTTAGTGCCAGCCGAAGTTTGTTTACTTGTCTACATCGACGTTGTTTCTGAGTGCCTGTGACTTCGTAATAATTCGTGGTAACGTTCGTCAATGCAGGGGTGCTCAACAAAGGGTGTGCAGATCCCAAGAGGGGTCTGAGACAGGGTTGAGGGACATGCGGATGGCCATCTACAAGTGCCGGGTTTGCTTGGTGCAGTTCTAAATTCCGTTGACGATAAACCAACATCCGCCATTTGCCACAAAGTAGCGGTGATGTCACCACGGCGATTGGACTCGGCGACCTGCACTTTTAGGTCAACGATATAACGCTGCTGACACTCACTGTAACAAAACTATTGCAAGCAGAATGAAATCCAGGAAGTCATCCAGAATTCTGATTGTTATTCTGGCTTTCTGGATTTTTACAAAAATTATTGGTGCGGTTTAAAGTTAAATCTCTTTTCATATTGCTAAATTTGTTGGAATTATTCTTAAACGTTCCAGCGAGCTGAAAGAAAAATTTGCGAATTAAACACTTCCACTTGTGAGTTTTGTTTATTTCGCTATTGTCGCGTGGTGGAGGGTGGAAGGACAAACGTAGCCAGATCATTATTGCATGGCCTAACCCAACAATTATAAATCAAATTTCGATTTAAAGCTTTCGTTACTGCAGGGATTCATCTTCTTGGTTCTTTCGATAAAGTCATGTAGAATGGAAATAATAAAATAATAAAAATAAAACATAATTAAATAATTCTCACGACGTTTCAGCCACAACGCAAGCAGCCGTCCTACGTGACTTTACCGAAAGAACCAAGAAGAATTATAAATCAATTTGATGGTTTTCAGTTGAAATGCTGGTCGGGGTTCAACTCCGCCTGTGATAAAATGAGAGCCGCTGTGTGTGACATTTAACGGTGGATGTTCTATTGATATCCCGTGCCCCTTGTGAACTTTCCACCACTGGCTTCGGGCCACTGATGCTGAACGCTGTGTGACGCGTACCTGAGCAGGGAGACACTGACTTGTGAGATGTGGGGAGCTGCCATTTATATAGGGGCGCCTTGCACGATCGGGTTGAGGACCTCTGCACTCAAGACATTCCCTGCGCTCTGTCACCCTCTGTCATACCGGTCACGCAAGTCTCAACGCGCCTTTTGTCGATCACAATTGAGACTTGCTTCATGCGGGACACCGTGGCCTTGGGAGTGTTTGCTGTGCACCGAGCGTTGTCTGTGTGGCCGTTAATGGGACGTCGACAGCGGTTTCCCTGTGGAGTACATTTTCGCCGAAGGAACGTGGAAGTTGCACCAACGGGGATGAGCACAGCTAGGCACTTCGTATGAGCAGGGAGACCCTGGTGGAATGCGTTGGGGTGGGTGTGTGTGTGTGTTACTTGGGATCTGACCTCGGGTTTTCTCTGTGCAGGGCTTGTCTTTGGTTACCAAAACCAGTAGAGTAGCTGCAGTTAAAAAAATATAAACAAAAAAGTAACGTGTGAATTCGCTGTTCGGACGACGGTGCCTCTGTACCTTGTCGGCTCATGGGAGTCCTTTGACCATACTTGACCACGGTGCGGTCACTGTCAACTGAATAAAACCGAGTTGACCCAAGAATTCTTCAAATTGTTTTATGTAGAACTACTTTTGCAAACCCATAGCATATCGGCACAGAGGCACACCGATAATGCTATTCCATTTCATTTGTCGTTTTTTTTTCCGTGTTATTTCTTTTTTTAGATTATTGGAAACCGCTTCTGTGCCAATATTTAGACAAAAAAGTTAAATTGCAGATAAAATTATAAGTTGGTCAATTCTTGTGGGAAATTATGCCAAAAACTGCCTTGCCGCCACACGTTTCGCACGTGAGATATTTATTTGTATTTCATTCAGTAGAACTTGGAAGACTGCGGTCCTTAAGGCTCAATGGCTTTTCACTGAAATTATTTTCATTGATTTCTTCAAGCACCTTACTTGAATTTTGACAATTCAACATTCGGTTTATTGCACAAACAATAACTCTTTAAAAACATAGCGAGTCACATTACTGCTGCACTGCTGATTTAGTTAACTATTTACGTAAGCCATGATAGAATAATTTTTGTGCTGTATTTTCTTGTCTTTAATTCATCGTAAGCGTATACAAAAACAACCGTATGCTACATGTTCAGAAATTGTTGTGACTGCGTTCACTGGATTATACGACATGCACATTTTCCCTTATTATTTTAAATAAAATGTAGTGTGGGAATCTTATAACCCAGGAGGTGTGTGCAAGGCCACACTTGTGCAACTTTATTGACACCGGCACAAGTTTGAGGTGCATATTCATTTCCAGAGCCACCATATAATCCAGAGAAGATGGTGTATGTTGTGTAAGATCCTTATGAATGTCGTTTATCAAATCAGAAAGCCATTGACAGCAGCTCGGTAAGTATACGTTTCAAGGGGCATATATGGGTCGACATTTGTTTTTACATTTGTAACTTCACGTTCTTTTTTGTAGATTCATTACTTTTTGACTTTCAATAAAAAGTGCTTTTCTGAAAAAGTGAAAAAAATGTTTACATGTAAAACAAAATACTTCTGCCAACTCTCTGGAGTGCGATTTCGTTGGGCGTGTGGCCCCGATCAGGTGGATGTCGTCGGGAACAACGATCAGCAGTGTCCACCCAGCCACCCACAATGCACCCCGTCCGGTCTCATCTCAGAATCTAATGCGAGACGGGGCCCATGTGAACGCGCATGGCGCAAGAGTCGTGGCGGGCAGCAGAGGGCAGCAGAGGGCAGGGCAGCGAAAGTCGCGGCCCTGCACCCCCTTGGCGACCCGCACCGAGCAGCAGGGCGAGGTGTGGCCACGTCAGGTGTCCCTGACGAGCCACAAGGCATGGGGAGGGGGCCCTCATCCAGCAGTGGATTGACAATGAGCTGTACACAGATATGGATAGACAGCAAATGTCTACAGGGCTGTGTACACTACCAACCTCTGGTTACCCTTACATCACAAGAGCGCAGTTCGTAGATCATGTGCAGCCATTTACTAGCCACCTGGCGAGAAAGAGGTGGACAATGGGTGCCAGTACAGCAAGTAGGTTGCCGATTTGTGCGTGTGCAACATGAGTGGCAGGTCGCATCTGAACTTGTCCGGGACCTACCATAGGTAAACTCGGCCTTAAATGAGTGTGGAAATTGTGTACCGGTGGTGACGTTAACTCTTGGGTTGGTGACCGTGCTGGTGGTAGTGCTGGTGGTAGTGCTGGTGGTGCTGGTGGTAGTGCTGGTGGTGCTGGTGGTGCTGGTGGTAGTGCTGGTGGTGCTGGTAGTGCTGGTCGTGCTGGTGGTGCTGGTGCTGGTCGTGGTGGTGGTGCTGGTGGTGCTGGTAGTGCTGGTGGTGGTGCTGGTGGTGCTGGTGGTGCTGCTGGTGGTGCTGGTAGTACTGGTGGTAGTGCTGGTGGTAGTGCTGGTGGTGGTGGTGCTGGTGGTGCTGGTGGTGGTGCTGGTGCTGGTGGTGGTGGTGCTGGTGGTGCTGGTGGTGCTGACCTTCATAGGCGCTCAGTGACGGGGCTTTCCCCGACAACTTCGTGGACAAACAGCGGATCGCTGTGCGTATTCCCCAGCGTGTGCAGCTCTTCTCTCTAACACTTAACTCGAATTTGGGGAACATTGGCCACATTAATCTGACAACGTTGCTACAAATGACAGCCATTACGTATCATTCACAGCCTCCACAGAGCTGCTGAATCAAAGGGACAGTACTAGTATCGTGTTTCCCCATCCCGCGGTCTCGTGTTCTCGCTCTCCGATTATCTCTCTCCTGTCTCTCTGCCCCCCCTCCCCCCGTCTCTGTCTCTCACTCTCAAAG